AAGGAATGTGGGAAAACATTTTCTCGCTCAAATAGCCTCATTCAACATAGAAGAATTCACACAGGAGAGAAACCTTATGAATGTAAGGAATGTGGAAAAACATTTTTACAATCAGGTGACCTCACTAAACATAGTAGAATTCACACAGGAGACAGACCATTTGAATGTCAAGAATGTAGGACAACGTTTAGGCACTCATGTCAACTCAGTAAGCATCGAAGAATCCACCCACTGAAGATGTGTTAAGGCAGTAACAAAATGCAAAGAGTTTGCAATAGCAATATGCAAAAAGTTTGCTTCATTATTGTACACACTTAATTGGTATCATTCATACTACCTATCAGTGCTTGTCTGTGAAGCCAGGGTATATTGTAAACTTTCTGTGAAATCCCAGAGGTGTAAAATGTATTCATTTGAATGCAAAATAAGTATTTCCACCCAAATAAACTAAACCTAAAAACTTAGGCTGAGCAGTGCTTTGTTCTATCAGCTTTGGGCAGTCTTACAGAAAAGGAAGTTGGTTCTGTTACACAAATGAAGACTTAACTGTATTAACAACTCCTCAAGACTCTATTTATATCCCAAGTCCCTAAGTTGTCCTGGAAAGGGGCTCCTCATGGGATTGACCTCCCTTTACAGAAGTACATTTAACCCTGCCAGTGGCTGCTGTGGGTGGAGAAAGGTGGCATCTACACACACAAAAAGAACAATAAAAGTGAGATCAACATTTGGGAATCAGTTTGCTTTCTGCTATGGACCAACTTTTGTAATCTGGGCAAGCTGTTGTGCAAATTTTTGTTCTCTCGTGTTTCTGAAGCTGTATTTTGTGGGAAAGAGCTCCTCCAGCCTGTTTTCTAAGATCCTTCTAAGTATCCACAAAGGAAAGGCAAACCCATGTCATCAAGTGAATTCCAAGTGTTGGGAGTCCAATGTGACAGTGCCAACTTCCTATAGATTTTCCAGGCCCACACTTGGTGATTGACGTGGATTTTATCATCATTTTCTCAACTGTCGGTTCTTGAATTTGAATCTGACGATCTGTTTTCTGTGATTTCAAATTATCATTGCACATTCACTTTTCTAACAATATTCAATTGTAAACCCTATGAACAATAGAAGAGTTTGCTGACATGTTATAGAAAGCTAATTGTATGAGTCAGTGTTGATTTTTACCTGTCAAAATACCAGGGACCACCTAGAGATGGCTATATCTGACCTTTACAAAGTTCACAAAAGGAAATTTTCCTATCAATACAATCAGTATCACATAAGTGGTTCCCAAGGGTGTAGGCCTGTCTAATCCTAACCCTAACCCTGACCCAAACTATCTCATCCTCGCCCCAACATGACAACTCAGAGTGAGACTTCACATAGGGAAACACTGAGAAGAAGGAGCAGGTGTGAGCAGATAGTTGTGGTTGGAATGTGAGATGTGTGAACGTTGGACAATTGAATACTGTTAAGAAAAAAATGGAACACAGAAATATTAACAAGACTAGGTATCAGCAAAACGGGATGGCTTGGCATGGGACATGAATCACCTGTGAAAACTAGGACAGGCGCTGATTGTGTTAGAGACCACCAAAGACTCCTGTGCAAGTTCAGGCTCAAGTAGAAGACATTGTAATCAAATCCATAGGAACCATCATATGATCCCGAGTCTATCTCACTTTAGTTAAATGATCTCAGGAACAGGTTTGAGGCCTTGAACTCCAATGAGGAAAGACGAGATGAGCTGTGGGAGGATATTGTGAACATCATGCATGAAGAATGCAAAAGGT